ATTAAGACATTCAGGATCCTCAAACCCCAAATAGTCTTTAGTACAGGATAAAGCCACATTTACATCCCAACAGTTTCCATTGGTACAAACCAAACAAGAGCCAAATTAACACTCATTAAACAGTGGCAGGAATTCACTGGAAGCTGAATGTCAGTTCTGACCACCCCCAGGACACCAGACACTTTTCCAAATGCAAGAATTGTGGAGATTTCACATCACTTTCCATTTATAACTAAGTTCTTAAAGTCCTCATGCTCCTCCTTGAGAATCACATGAAATCAGACAACCTGGCCTTGATTTGTGAGGTTACAATGAGAGAAAAATAAAATAACAGCAATTTAAGAGTATTAGTTTAGTCCAAGCACCACGGATCATTTCTTAGTCTACAACTTGTGGACAAATAAAAGGCTCCTTGCTGCTGCTCTGAAGGAGCAGAAGTAGAAAGTCCTGCTCTGGGACAGACGGACAGAGCTGAAGAGCACCAGGGGGACAGAGAGACCTCCCTGCTGTGCCCAGAACGGGGCTGACACTGGGAGGCCTCTGGGAGTAACTCCATGAACTGAGAACACAGCAGCTGCAGGCTGCACACAGCCCTGGACACATCTTTTTCTCATTTTCTGTATCTTAAACTGCCAGTTTAGGCAAATGAGGTTACGATGTTGTCACTGGGGCAGCAGCAGCTCCAGGACCTGGATTTGTTTCTCACATCAGGAAGTGAGAACAGGCAAGTTATTGCTTTTAGTGCATGTGTTAATTGGTCTGGTTGATCAATTGCTTCTCCCTTCCACATACAGAGATGTTGTAAGAGCTACATTAGGTTCAAATGTGGAATGGATTATGCTACATATTTGTGCAGCAGATTTTCATTCTTTCGACATCTGAGTCAAGATGTGCCCAGCCTGGGAAGTTCCTGTGTTCAGTGTCACTGCCCTCGACTCTGACATGTCAAACAGTTCATACCCACACAGCACAACATGGAAATCACTTGGTGAGTTTCAGATGAATGAAGAAGAAATTCCTGAGTCTGTATTAAAAACCATCTCTGATCTCTCAAGAATCAGATTCCTCCTCCTCTTCCTCCTCCTCCTCTTTATCATCCCGAAGACTGAGGTGTAACTCAGTTTGATTGATGGCAGCCTCATTGTCCATCTGCCCAAGAGTCTGTCAGAGAAAAGGGCTGATTACCAAACCTAGCACAGACACCAAACACTTCCCAAATCACTAACAAAAGTGTTAGCTGTGTAGTTACTGTTAATTAAAGATCCCAGAGCTGGAACTGAGGGCCCAGCACAGCAACAAGGCCCTGCTCTCCATGGCAAAGCTGCACCTGGGCCAGGCTGGCCAGGTATTGAATGAAAAGCAGCAGCACCTGTGCCTCCACCCCAGGGTCACAAGCATTAAACAGAATATTTAACACATGGGGAACTGAGCCTGCAGCACACAGCTATTTCCCAATGCCCCTGGAAACACCGTGCTGCTTCTGGGGATGGGAAAAGGTGAAACCCTCAAAACACCAGCAGCAAAACTGACATTGTACAGTGAGCTTTGCAGTGATGAGAAGCATCAATGAGGTGACATGAGAAGCTGCACAACCCAGCCCAGCTCATGCTCCCAGCCAGCCGTGGAGCCCCCTCCGAGCCCAGGGACCCCCTTACCTGCTGAGTGTCCTCGGCCAGGGCTGGCAGGGGCACGGAGACGTTCTCCTCGCCGGCCCTGATCATGGACTGCAGCGCCAGCTCCTCCACCTGCAGGGACCGCACTGAGCACTGCCGGCACTGGCACCATCCCCTGACACTGGCACTACACCCCCGGCCCTGGCACTGCATCCTGACACTGACACAGAACCCCGGCCCGGGCACCGCACCCCGGCACACCCCCCTGCCTGACCCTGCTTAACGCTTCCCACTCGGAACTCTGGGCTTTTGTACCTGTTAAAGCTTTGTTAAATCTCCTGCTCTAAATTCTGTTCTAAGCTCCTTTATTATGATATGCATGAGTCTCTAAACCCAAGCAGTCTTCAGTTCCACTCCTCAAACAATCCCTTCTCCATCCCTCAGCTAAGGCAAACCCTGCACTCACATTTACCTCTTAGAGACGTATCCTGCTCATACTCACAACTACATTTATCTCTTGATGTATCCTGCATACACTCACATTTACCTCTGAGCAATGTATTCTGCTCATACTCACATTTATCTCTTGCTGTACCCTACACACATTGACATTTACCTCTTAGAGATGTATCCTGTGCTCACTCACATTTATCTCCTAATGTATCCTACATGCATCACACTCACATTTACCGCTTACAGACATATCCTACATACACTCGCACATTTAGCTCCTAATGTACATATTCACTCACAATTACAGATACCTCTAACAGATATACCTACACACATTCGCAATTACATTTACCTCTTTAAGATGCACCCTGCACAATTGCATTCACCTCATTTAGGTGCACCCTGCACACAATTACATTTACCTCTTTGAGATATACCC